CAGAAGCGGGAATTAAAAGGCATCGGAGTTGTTAAAACATGACATTCCCAAAAAAGGGCTGCTGGGCCTCGAGACAACCCAGAAACATCCCACATGACTCAATCCTGCAGGAATTACAGCACCGCCAGGGTCGCTGAGGAAGGTCTTCTCTTAGATACAGTCTCCTCCTCCTCTCCACTTTGTGAATCTGTCCTTCCACCTCTCTGCGATCATGATCTCACAGCATGTTAAATAATTCCAAACTGAAGATGCGTCTGTGTTTTGGGAATGTTCAATCATGGCGTAAAGGGATTAGCAACTCCTACTAAGGAACAAAGTGGTTGTTGCTCTTTCATGGAGGAAGATGATTGGCGGGCCACGGAGCAAAGGTGAAAATTCTTAAATAGACAAAAAAAAACAACAAATGAGCATCGGCGTTTATGTAAGCTGTGGAGTATGCATCAGGACCAACGCCATAAATAGAAACGACTTGATTTGACTTGCACATATAGCCACGACAGGACTGGGATTAGAACCTGTGACGCACTGATCATGATCTTGATCTTTTTTTTTCAATCACTTCTCATTGTTCGTCCTCTGTGTCCAACAGAGACATGTCTTTGATCAACTCCATGAATTCATATAATAAATGAACGTAACCCCAGGACAGTTACTTGTGGAACATCCTGTAAACTCATCATCCTGCACCGTCTGTGCTGTGATCTGACCAATCAAAAGACACCGAACAAACACAGCTTTGTCTAGACCAAACTCAAATTCACACTGAGCCAAAATTAAAAACTGGGACGAGGTCTCAGTTTGGTTCTCACCCAATTAGTTGTGAAGTGGGTGGGACCAGTGCAATCATAGCATAATTAACTCTGTACTATAACAAGTCCATGTTTTTCCCCTTTGTTTTCATGCAAAGAAGTACAAATACATTAGATATTTATTATTATTTCAAAATTTAAAATAAATAAAAATGTATTAAGCGAGCCAATCTGAACAGTGTAGTGAGCTGTTTTGGCCCACGGGCCGTACCTTTGGCACACCACGATCTAGTTGGTCAATATCCAGTAGTGAGCCAATCTGAACAGTGTAGTGAGCCGTTTTGGCCCACGGGCCGTACCTTTGACACACCACGGTCTAGTTGGTCAATATCCAGTGTTATAAATCTGTGCATTTTGTTTTAATGAAAAGCATCTAAGGCTTCAGATTAATCTATAAATTATAAAGATGTGCTTTCCTCCTGTCTAGCAATTTAATATGAGAATAAAATACGACAAAAAAATACTAATAAATACATTCGAAAAATGTGAAAGTGAGTGTCTGCCTCGTCTCGGCATATAAAAATGGGTCTATACTAATCTGACAAAAACTTTTTCATTCTAACGCCTCAAGGATGACAATTAATTACTGCACAGAACTCCTGCCTTGTTCAACTTTAACACATTCATCCGTCAAACTCTGGAGTAAAGACATATTTTTTAACCCAGACAGTCATAAAAATAATTGCAATTTACTGACATTTACTGTCGCCATATAAAATACAATCAGTTTTCAAATACTCTACATGCACACACACACAGATAGACACACACTCTTACACACTCACACTTTTGGAGGAATGCTGTGTGTGTTGTGAGTGGGAGTGGAGGTCAACCTTCACTGTCAGGGACTGTGTCAATGTATTCAGCTCCTATAGAGGCTGGTTTAGGCGCTTATCTGTTTAACACTGGCTCAATTCATTCCACTGGCCAAAGACTGGCCTTTGGGACATTGACGCCACCAGAGCGACCATTACAACGTTTCAAATGGGGAGGGTCAGTCAACTTACAGTCGCGTCCGGTGTTGGCCTGAAGGCCTGCACGTACAGTACATCAAGAGAAGGTGTTTTTTTTAAAATCCCAAATCTGTGGTGGCCTGAAATTAAAGCAGGTTTAATTTAAGAACATATTGTCAAAAGGAAGGTTTTTAACATGCTACGTGCTAACCTTTAATTCTGGAGACAAATGTTGTTAATGCACCAAAGGTTTGCTGTGGTAACAACACGGCTGCTTCATGTTGAGCTGTACACCCCCAACACGATTGTAACAAAGAATTCAACTACTTGTTCTACTGTAAAAGTCAAACAACTCCGAGGCCGTGTTGCTAAAATAATCCTAATCTTACCAAGGACATTTTTGGCTTTTAGCGGCAGCTCTCCATCTTTACTGCCATCTACTGGCCTTCTTTCCAAATGGGAAAAAAAAGGCAAATTCAGATGGAGGGTTTGGTCTCTGCTAATGAACAAAGTAAAACTCTGAAAATTCTCTACTACAGTCACTTATAGTCAACTGTTTAATTTCACATTTCCGAGCTTTATTAATTAGTCTAATGAAAAAGTCCATCCAAACTATGAATCTTTGAAATTAGTACGTAGATTTTCCATCATGAAAAGAAGTTCTTCCAGGCTTCCTGCAGAGCTCAACTCCTTCACTGCTGCTCTCAGTTGTTCCCCAGGGCAGCTGCACGCAGTATGCGAAGGACAGACATTAAAATATTCATGTATCGATTAAATCTGTAGAAATTAATCTAATAAATATAACGCAACACTGGCTATTAACTTAGTACAAGTTATTATCAGGATAAATCCTGTGGGCTATAGGTTACCTCCTGGCCCTGGAGGAATTCTCCCTGTCTTTGGGAAAAAACTCTTACTGTAAATGACCTCTGAAATCTAGAATTAAACAGATTTATTTTTTTTTTGCTTTATGTCCTAAACTATCACTATTAAAATAATTTTAAAAATTAAAGTACACCACACACCCAGAGACGTACAGCTTCTGAGGCGGTGTAATTGCACAGGGGCTTCCTTCAACCCCAGCTCCATCTTTACAGCTTGCATTAGCATACATAATACTGCTCTGTGAACTCAGAGAGTCATACCAATTGAAAAGGATTTTTTTTTTTACAGCTCAGAACTGACATTACCACTTTAATTTGGTGTGAGTGTGCTGGCATGTTTATGTGCACAGCGTTGTATCATGAGACGGGAGATAATTGCTTTTGCAATACAACTTAGCGGTATGTTGTTAATTCAATGATGACTTGATTGCTTTTGTCTACTTTTGTCCCCTGGGCAGGTTTATGTGTTTGTTAGAAAACACCGGGGGCAGACGGTAACTGTTGGCCACACCCTATTCACACAAACATATGTTACACATACACACAAACACACACACACACATACAAAGCTGCATTCTTAAAAACAGGGCCTGGGGGGTCCATAAACTCTGCTCCAATAAAAAAGAGGAGTGTATATGATATGACTGTCCTACTGTTCAGTGGTGATCCAACCCAATTATCTCATCTCACAATTATAATTTTTCTTTTATTATTATTATTATTATTGTAGCATTAAGGTAGATTCGAGGAATTGTTCATGTTGGATTTCTCGGACACATTTAATTAGATTGATTATTTTATATTAGAAAAATACCACTGTGACAAACAAAATGTCACAAAAATACATGTCACGCAATATAATGATCTTTCTGCTTCAATTTTCTCACAGTTTACTTCCACAGTGTAAGTAAATTACCTGGGCCTGTTTAGTTGAACACATCTAAACACTTGCAGGAATTGAAGAAAGACACACACTAAGTTCTCTTCAACGTCTCTGAGTCTCATTAATAAATTCGTGAAATAGAGTAAATGCTTCTGTAGTACAGGAAACAGTAAGCACAGTATTTGACTTCTAAGAAACAACAGGCAGCGCTGACTGAAATGGGTTCAGTAATTCTGTGGCCTACGCATAACTTACATCCTCAGCCAAACATGTGACCTCATAATAGTTCTACCCTGGATGATTACACAAACATGCAAACACCGAGTCCGGCAACCACTCATGGCTGGAATTACCAGAATAGCTCTGGATGTGGAGTCAGTACGGCCGATTAAACCACCGCAAATGTAATTTCCATACAAAGTGGACAAAGCAAATAGCCCTTTAATGAAGATCGCTGTTAATATGTTTGCCAGCTAATTTCTGCCAGTGTCAGTAAAAGCCTGCAGGGACAACATGATTGAATCGAGAGAATCGGCGCTAATGACACTTGCTGCTAATTAGCCAAACAGAGAAGGAGGGCATTAATCTTAATGCCTGCTTGTAGGTATGTTCATTTTAGTGGTAGACTCGGCACCGTCTGCTAAATATAACGTTAATGCTAGTAGTCTGGCTAATTTAATCTGTGGACGACAGTTTGGAATCGAAAATACAGGTAGTTATTTGAGTTGTTAGCATTACTGTATGCCATACTCATTTACGTAAATGTCAATACCATACACTGTAAAACAATAGTATTTTTGCCGTTATATGTTAATGAACAATAAACCATGAAAAACAGAAGGGCGTGGATGAGTTTTGTGGGTGTAGACAGTTTGTGGACAAACTCCAGCTGTTAGAACAATTCAACTCAATTCAACAACAAAATCACTGCTCTTGTATTGCGTTGTCTCTGATGAAATACTGACATCTATTGGTTAAACCTTGTAACTACACAGTGGCTGAGTGTGAAGTATTCTTCATCCATCACTCTGGAAATAAATGTGGTTTGCTTGCGGTCATTGAAACTGAAATGAGAGTCATTTTACTCATTTATATAACTTTGCGTGGAATAATTTAGGACACAATTATTCCCATGATTGCCTCCATTCCAAATAAAAAATTAATATTACGATCAATGGCAGTTGATTAAATGACCAAGTATGTCCATGCCACGCAAAATAAAATGCATTTCTTTTTTTTATTTAAATGATTATACGTGTATTGGAACGATTCAAAGAAGAAGAAATCTGGTTTATGGACAAGCAGATCAAAAAGCATCGGAACACAGATTAACAATGATTGACATCTTCAATAAAAGTTCAATTTATTTTCTTTGTTTTTTTCAATTGTTTCAAAGTAAACTTTAAGTATCCGAATTCTTCGTCATTCTTTTTTTTTTTTCATTTTAGTTTGTTTTTCTAAAACAATTTCTCTCGCGAGATCTGACAACACTTACGTCGTCACTGGGGTGTTTGACAAAGTCTAACGTAAACCTGTCGTCACCAAACTAAGATGATCTTTTGGGATTTTTAAAATAATGCTTCATTAACAGGAAGTTTAAAAGCTGTATGAAGAGCTCCGGGTAAGGACTAACACGATTTAAAAACACGTATTTCTCAGAATTATATATCAAATTTAAATGACTGGTAGTTGAAGTTGTCGTTGTCGCAGCAGCTCCTTAAAAACAGCAACGGTTAATATGAATCAACCGTTAATAGAGACTGACAAAAATTCAAATATCTGTATACATCGGTAAACGTGTTAATGGAACAATTGTAAAAGTAAATTTCGAACCATCGAACCAACGTGACTACCGAATCGAACCGACTCAACTTTTACTCATGTCCAGACACATTATAAAAGTCTCAAACGCCATTTTGTTTCCTACAAAAGAAAAACAAAAACGCGTGTGCTTTAAATATAAGGTGTGTGTGTGTCTGATAGAGCACGTGGAAGATAAAATGATAAAGTGAGTGTTGCTTTACTCATAATGTACACAGGTGTGTTTTTCCTTCGGCGTGTATAGCGTGATATGAAACTGTGACCACTAGAGGGCAGTGTAGCGTCATGCTATTAATTTTGAACGTTGATTGTTGGTATTCCTTACTCATCCTGTGTCTCATTGTCACGGCAGACCTTACAGAGTTCACAGTTAAAAAATATTTTTTATAACCGATATAGACACATTACGATAATATAGAATCACAGCGTTGAAAAGAACATCCCGGAAGTGCTTAGATACGTACTGTTTTGTATATTTTTGAAATACCCTTTTGATTTTGTCACATATCATTTTTTGCCAAAATGACTAAGTCCTGGACTCGGTTTTAGTCTAGATTCCTGATGAACCAACCTTCGCCTTAGTAGAAGAAAATAAAAAGAGTAGAGATGGTCAGATTTCACCACTGGAGTTTTCCCTCAAGGTGGCGCCTCTAGTCAAACCTCACTCTGTTGTTAAGGCTCTCTACCAACGTTTGCAGTATGATGTCATGACTTCAGGATGATTTATTACAGTCATTAATGTAATATTGTGCTACTATCACCGTGTTAAGTTTTTTTTCCTGAGGCACTGCCGAGTTTAGCAGACGAGGTTCATCATACACCTCCGAGTTCAACTAAACAAGTTGACAAATGATTGTTTCTGTTGACACCTGAGCCTGTCTCAGCATCTGCTGGATGATACATGAGGTGTTTTTTTGTTTTTTTTTTTAAAGGTGTAGCGAATATATCCAAGGGTTTATAATGCTGAAATGACCAGAACACACACTTTTAACACACACATATATAGCCTGCATTTATTTATTACTGAAAATGTCAACTTTTGATTTAAAATTTTACAAAGGAAATGTTTATTTACTTGGCTTTATTGTGGGGAAGAACCCCACTCCAAACTCCCATAACATCACATTTTAATTTCTGACACCCCCTAGTGGCAGCTTGCGAGTTAATTGAAATTGTAATTTCTGACACCCCCTAGTGGCAGCTTGCAAGTTAATTGAAATTGTAATGCTTTTAAAGAAGTATATGCAGTTTCTGTTGTAAATATTGGAGGATTGTAAGATAAAAAAAGAAAAATAAACTGCTGGATTTGTGTTAAGCTTTTGATTTAGAAGTGATGACCTTGCAGATGTGTTAGTCTGAAAAGAGCAAGGTCTTTTTTCAATTCAACAAAATCAAATACAAACTTTTCTTTTCTTTCTCAAAGCACAGAGATATCTATGTTATTTCAGACAGGAGCTCCTGTCAAGTCCCATCATGTGTCCCATCTCTCTGTTTCAGTAGAGCCTGTTCTGTGTTAGGGTTTTTGATAAGGATGTGGGTTGCACTCCATAATATGGCCTATATCCCGATGGTAAACACTGACAGTGAAGTAGACAGTTTAATGCAGACCTGTCACCATTCCGCTGCCTGTATTCCAAACACCCAGTGCCAGCTTCCAGCTAATATTTAACTCGACCCTGACCTACAGCGAAGTGTCTCAACACTTTAATTCCATCCATGGCTACGCTCCAACGTTCACTCCACCGCCTCAAACCGCTTCTTCTCTGCCCACAGCCTCCAGCTATTAAACTTGGGTTTTTCTCCTCAACGTTGCTTCAGGGAGCTGTGTGTGTTTGTCAGACCGTGTCATTTCTGCTCAGTGACATGCTTGATCTCTAACTGCAATCACATGCTCGCTTATTGTTACAATGTGGGAAACTACTATTAGGCAAAGGAAACGTGAATGGAAAAAGAAAGATGTAAAGTCTGAGACGGTGAAGTAATGAAGATAATAAATAGCAGTGATGATGACACAAGACTTTAATGAAGCTCATTCCAGGGATATCGTGATTCATACAACTGTTTTATTAACTTTTGTCTTCATGTATGTATAACAGTGCAGTATTTTACAGTACTTTTCCAGTCACGCATGTTTGAGGATGGTTCTGCAACTTATAGTCTGAAGACCATTTTATATACGTCTATGTAAAAAATATATACCATGTCATTTATGGCCACAAGAGGGCATCGTTGACTCTTAAGAAAAATTGAACGGTGCTACTGTTCCAATAAAGAAAATACATGACGTTAACAATTAAAACTTCTAGATTTCAAATCAGAATAAAGCTTTTTGTCGTTATAACATTTAAATGACCTTAAAGATATTTTAAAGAACACAAATTAAATTAAAAGGAACGTCTACATGGCAAACTTTGAGATGATGCCAAATGCGACTATAATAAAATCTTAATCAAGCTTTAAGCTTTCTCACGTTTTATATTTTAATCAATCATTATTCTTGTTTTTTTTTATTATTATTTGCTTCCCCTAATTTGTATTTTGTGCAGCATTTGGCTCTTTCTGCCACCGTGGGGCAGTTAGGTCAGAGTCAAAGCCAGCAGGATAGTCAACACTGCTGCACCTTAACGATCCAGATCTGCCCAAGGTCCACAGTTAGACAGATGGACCTCAAAAATGAGTCCCTGTATCGCAGTCACTGTTCCAGCATGCGTATCCTCTTCATCCTCTTCATCCGCCAAACGGTCACTGTTCATTCCCACATATCCACTTGTAGCCCTCAACAGACAGAGAACTTCATGATGTCCACAGTTCTAATTGGTTGATCAGGAGCATTATCAACTGGAATATAATCAAGTACAATCAGAACATTTCTCTGAACAGGTCATGGTTGTTTTTTTTTACATTTTTGCTCCCATATTATAAATCTTGGGACACATTTCCAGACGTACTTTATAAACCTGACCTTTCATCTTCCTCAGCCTTCAGAGCTCTCTTCCTATCTCTCTCTGTAGACTATTATCCTGTCCATCTGCCTGCCACATTTGCCTTCTGCGTTGTCTGGATTGATGGAGTACCAGATTAGTCGTAATGGTGTGATGTCGCTCAGGCCTTTATAGGTATGTAGATGTCACACACACACACATCTGCTGTGATAGGGTGGTCTTCTCCCAATATCATTCAATATTATTCCTGCTAATTACAGATTATATCTTTAACATGAACAGATTGGTTGGATTATGGACTTCAGAATTGGACGTAAGAAGAATGGGCATCATGTGAATGGACTTCAGAATTGGACGTAAGAAGATTGTCAGACACTATGGGCATCATGTGATAGTGCAGGGTGTCAATTCAGTCCAAACACAGTTCATGTGGGACAAAGGTAGGATGTTAAAAAAGTCAAATTTTTATTATGTGATTTAATATTTTTCAAAGAGTCTCACACTGTTGTAAGTGCCCTTGCCTGACAGCAAAAAGTTGTTGGTTCGCTACTACTTCCTAAAGGTCTTGACACTATGACAGACTGGAGAACTGTTCAGGGTTCGACACCGCCCTCGTCTGGTGAATGCTGGGATTGGGTCTTGCTTTCCCGGCCACTAGAAAATGTAAAGAAAAAATGTAAAGAAGTTAAGATAGAGGCTAATTAAATAAAGTATTTCGAGGGTTAAAAAGATGAAAATGTTGTCTTTGTCTCTTAACGTTTTCCAGCTGATTTGCTGATCTGGGCTTTGGACAGAGCTGAAGTCTAAGGAGAACCAGGGCCTTGTCTTCTACTACAGAGGCTTTCTCACACACAGACATCCTGAGGCAGCTCAGAGGATCAGCACGTAAGTGTTGAATGACTCTCTCTCTCTATATATATATATTTTTTTTTTTTGAAGAATTTGATTTGGCCTCTATTTGATCTAAATTTGCAATCAATAAAGACTGACTCAAACTATTAGACATTGGAAACTAAAACCAGATTTTTTTTTCTTTTTGCTGTGTTCTGTGCTAGCTCTTAGCTACTAATCACACTGTAGTCATGAACTAAGAGTCACTCTTATTATACTCCCAGCTCCATCTAGAAAATTTGTCCGTCACCTCCGGAGCATTGGTAATGACTGTGATTTATGGACTGTCTTTCCCATCAGTGTTAGTGTGATTAATACCAGCCCCTGTACAGACTCTGTCTTTGTACCCCCCAGTATAAAAACCACATGTTAGCAGCTTGTCTGAGCTCTGCATTAACCATGCGCACCGGTCAGTCTTTAGAACGAGAGGCCGTGGGCATAAATCCTTGGACTTCCGACTTTCTGACTCCTGACTCTTTAAAGAAAGTTGTGTCTTAATGAAGATGGACGTGGCGTAGAGAAAAGCCTCTGTGTGTGTTATGAGCCATATCATTTTAGACTGCTGTGCACTAATAAACGGCACAGCCATATGCCGGTGGCGGCAGGCGCCTGTAGCGGCCTTAGTACGTTTGAATGGTGGCCATGGTCAAAGTAAGACGTCTAATTATTGTGTTTATCGAGCAGTAATGTGGACATTAACAGTGTTGGGGGGGTGGGGGAGGTGTTGGACCTGAAATCACCAATAAAACCAACAGGGTTTTTAGTTCAGAGACAGACAGGGTGTCTGCACTGTTTATATGATCACTGACTGCGTTTGCATACGTGGGCCTTTGTTGTGCTGGCTGCAGGGTTTGGACAGCCATGTCTGGTGAACAGCGAGTTACGGTAATAGTATGAAGAGTCAGGTCATATCTGCTAAATGTGTTGTCTGTAAAATTCATGTAGAGTTTTTCCATACATTTGTTAGTGTGAAATTTTGCTCAAATAATTATTATTAAAACACTTGGTACAAATAATACTACAGCGACCAAAAGTATTTGCTCAATTGAGGGAACACCTAAACTTATAACTTAACCTTAAAAAAAAATATTTTTTTAAATTTTCTTACCTTTTCTTTAATTTCCTTAGCATTTACGATTCAATTTTAAAATAATATTCTGACCACACGATGGAGTAGTGGACAGGACTGCTGCCTTATATCAAGAGGGCGTTCTCTCTTTTAAGTTTTAGTTAGTGTCATAAGCTTGTCAGTGGTCACTCTTCTGACCTGTGCACCACTGACCCTGGTCCAAACCCGTTCTTCTCTCTCCGATGCCCTCACCCCTACCTCTCCGTTCTTCTCCTTTTCCAAGCTGATCCTCTCCCTGTTCTTTCTCCACCCAGTCTTTTTCGTGTCGTGATGCCAGTGCAACCGAAAAAATCCCTCGTATTGAATTCCTACACCCACATGTGCAGCTCAAGACACTGAGGAGATGCTTTTTTTTTTGTAAGTGCAGGAATGTGTCTTTAGTAGAACCAAATGTTTGTTTACTAGAAACGGAAAAATCTTAAGACTTTTATAAGCGACATTTTTTGATGCTAAAAATGTGCAGCCTAAATCTGTGGGCTAAACTGTCTGATGTGGAAGTTCCTTTTTCTTTTATCTCACTCTGTTTTCATTTGAACGGGAGGCCAGAGTTCACGCTGACATTTCAAACGCTCCTCCGTGTATACTCCCGAGAATCTTCCGACCAGCATCTGTCTCACCCAGCCTCACTCGGTTTGATCATTTGAGTTTGTTTCATTCCATTTAGTTTTCATTACTATGTAAATTCAAGAAGTATGGCAGAACAAAGTTGATTATTTCCATCTCGACAAAAGTTTTAATATTGTATGAAATGTGTTGTTCATCAGTGAAATAGTTTTGATGAAGTGCTGAAGACTTTGATCCTGATTCCCTTTTTCTAAGGCACTTTGAATCGAGGACGTTTAAGAACAGTTTGTTATTCGGC